CAAAATAAAGTGTCTGACAGACTTGTCTACTTGTACCTTTGATAATCATTTTTAACAAAATCATATATTGAACGACTACGCAAAAGTAATTTGGACGAAAGGAACGTCTAGGCTTTCTTGTTACCTTATTCCAATGATTAGTTTTGCAAGGGATCCTACTTAATACAACCAGACATGTTCCAGGAACCATGACTACTTTTGAATCTTATAGAGTAAAAAATGAATGCGACCCAGCATTGGCCCTTTTGGGCGACTACATCGCTATGGACAACCAGACATCACAAGTGGGTGCTATATTAGGCATAGCTTTAGCATACGCAGGTTCTCACAGGGATGACGTCATAGAACTACTGCTGCCATTAATATCATCTTCATCCATGGAAATCAGTGCGCTCAGTAGCTTGGCTTGTGGATTAATATCTGTTGGGAAATATGACAATGATGTTTCCATTACTATACTGAATAAAATTATAGACAAGAATGGTTCTGACAGGTATGTTTTTTCGAAGATATCTGTCTTTTTGAGATCATGACTCATTTTCTACAGAGGTTGGTTACTCAACGTACTCGCCGCATAAAATATATAACAAATATGAAGACAAATAAAAAATGTAAAACTTTATGGTGCCGTTTCGCGCCACGACATCGATAAGCGACAACGACAGTAACTCAGCCTGATACTAATTCGTAAGACAGTGGTATACGAGGGTGGTTCAAATATTATCGAGACAAATGGTCTGACAAGTTTATTTACTATCGAAAGGATTTATAAAAATTTGAAGTTTTTCTAGATACGTTCCCTCACGCATTTTGTCCACCTTTCCGGAAGCTTTTTGATATCGGTATCGAAGAATTCCTTGGGCAACTCGGACAGCCATGTGAGCACGAACTCTTTTAGCTCGCCGTCGGTGTTGAAACTTTGACCTCCGAGGGCTTCTTTCAGTGGTCCAAACATGTGGTAGTCGCAGGGTGATAAATCCAGACTATATGGGAGGTGTTCCAGTACCTCCCACCCCAATTTTGATATTGTATCGAGCGTGAGACGCGCAATATGAGGGCGCGCGTTATCCTGGAAAAAAAATAGCACTTCTTGCTGCACTGCTCCTCCGTTTTACGCGATAAGCGGGTTTCACGTCTGTTTTCAGAAGGCTAGAGTACTATGCAGCATTGATGGAACGTTGGGTGCCTAGGAAGTTGACGTACAGCAGGGTGAATGTTGTCTGGTGTAAATGCTGGTTCGCGGTCGACGACCATGCGGCTCATTCTCGACAGTTTCGCGGCCAACCTTGAATGCTTTGGACCATTTAAACACAGCAGCCCTACTCAGGCACTCACTACCGCAGGAAAATTTCCTTGTTTTTAACGCCTTCCCACACTAAAAAAACGAACGACAATACGTTGCGCAATGGCGGTCGGCACTTCACCTTCACTCATGGCCGCTAGCACGCGCGTGAAACATGCGCTCCCGACGAAAGCGGTGCCACACGTTCGTAAGGGACCCAGCTATCACATACTCAAGCCGGTACCCTTAAGACATACATACGCGCCATCTATAGCATTTGTCTCCATCATATCTGAACCGCCCTCGTAGTACTGAAAATGAAATGTTTAAATTCAAATAAGTATGTTACGCCGTAAAAGGCAGCTGCTTTGTGCCTGTTATTGTTTATTCATACATTTCTAAATTTGCATTCCAGTATTTCACAGTAACAGTAGATTTTCTGAATGTGTGTTATGCCACTAGTCCCAAGAATCGGTCTCTTGGGGCGTAGAATCGCATCTTTAGAATAAAAAAGTTTTGTCTTTATCGATCGGCATTACGTATTTTGTAAAGCGACATTGTGTTGGTTTCTTTGACATATAGCTTTTTTGCGACATGTAGGTTTTTCTACAAGATGTCAACTTAGAACTAGCTGTTCTTCACTTGTTACGCGCTCGTTCTGTAGCTGTACGTGCTGCCTAAACGTCATGGCGCTGCAGCTATCAATTTTTGGCTCTAATGTGATGTAACATCTGCTTCAGAGATGGCATTGTTAGAGGTCTAAGCTGTAAGTTGTAAACTATAGCTGGAAGGAAACGGTACATAGTAAATATTTGTGTGATAATAATCTGTGTGATGATAATTCCACTGGTTTCTTGTCTCAAATCACTTACTTGAGATGTATGTGAAGCTAGAAATTAGTTGCGCATCCACTTTTTCTTATTCATCCTGGAAATTGCATATGCAAATTTGCTGAATTTTAAAAATGAGAGAGATAAGAGAAGAAAATCATGAGTTGGGGAAGTATATTACAACTAACATGTGAGAAAATATGCTTTATTTATGAAACATGAAAAATACAAATTAGCGCCTACATGTGAGGCACTGCGAAAGCGTTTTGTGAGATGCGTCATTCCTAATTTTTGTGTGATGTGACTTAATTACATACAACGCGTGCGGTAGTGATTTCCCGCAATGTTTCTTAAAGTCTTTGAAAATGCAAAAAATTCGGGGAAAATCGCAATTTATAACTTTGGACATAACCTCTCTTCAGAAAGAATAACACCCAGCTGGAATCTTGCTACTAAACCATTCTTCTTTTATCTTAGAGGTGTACTCTAAAGACGATCTCTGCCTTTTGCAACCAACAAATCATGCTGGGGAACTGACTTGCAACAAGGACATTGAGTCATTCCTCCAAAGATTATGCGGAATGAACTATTTGCACACTGGAACTGTCTAGTCAGCAAGTTGACATTTTGTCGGTTTGTTCACATTATATAGGTTTTTTACGAAATAACCCTGCCGATATTAGGCTTATTTTCAGTGACAAGCCAAGCTAATGTCAAAGTGACCAAATAATAGGAAAGGGTTCCTTAAGCCTTTTATATTCCTCTAGAAAAAGTATTTCAATTTTCCATAAATATACTGCCAGTATATATCACATACTGAAGCTGTTATAACAAAACGCTGTTATATTTGGAATCTATCATAAACATACATATTATCGGGAATTTATCTTTTCAATGGGTTCAAGAGATGCGATAGATGTTCCAAATGAAGCAGTTAGCATCTTAGAGGAACCTTTCAAGAGTACCATGGAAACTATTTTGCTAATGTGTGGATATGCAGGAACCGGTGATGTGTTGGTCATCCAGGAATTACTACACATAGGTACGACACTGTTCCTTCGAACTTATATTTGATTCTGTAATATACAAGTCCATCAGGTCTAGTCATATTCGGTTGTGGTCACTTAACGAGAATGGGGGAAAAACAATCACATCTGGAGAAATATGTGGATCCCTACTCACGTATATCAGTTTGTGGATTTAGATGCAAACTAGTATTATCTCACGTAGTCACGACACTTTCATATGTCATAGAACAACTTTGTTATTCCATCAACGTACATGTTGAGGCTGTGGAAATGTTATGTCTGGTGTTTTCATTAGCTAAAAGGTTCTGGTATTGCATTCGAATAAACTGATACTCAAAGGATTGGTTCTAGTTGGTGAAAAGGTTGATATACCGAAAGAATATAAGGATAAGTCGGAAAAAAAGGGCAGTAAGAACAAGAAGGATAGCTTCACGAAAATTAAAGCACCAAAGAAACCTGAATGGGATTATTCTATGGCAACGTTGGCTGTAGCAGCTGTACCAATGGGAGAGGAGATTGGTAATTATGTCAAAAATAAGGAAAACACGTATTTGGGACAAAATAATGACTTCATTGCCACGTGATGCCTCGTTTTGCTGAAATGGGTCTAATTATTTTTAGGAGCAGAAATGACACAGGATCTTTGGTCACGTAGGACGCTATGGCGATTCATGCGTGCGCATCCTCAACTAAATGTTATCGACGTTTTAACAAAATATTCTCTTGACGCTGATGATGAAGTGGCGTGCAACGCCATATTTGGTGTTGGATTAATAGGAGCAGGTGAATATAGACTAAAGTAAAAAAATCTACACAATATTTCGAGTAACTCGCAAATACATATTGTAATACTTCAGTTCATCACTAGGAAAACCAAATTTGTACGATGGCTTGAGTTCTATGTGTACGAAAGAGAAGCGCGAGAAGTGTATATCAACACATCATGTTAGAGAGATAAAAGCCGGCTGAAGAGAGAAGGTGATCACTACATTGCCTAGTAACGGTGACGGAGAAGGTCTTGCAACCTGCCGCGTTGCCAATATGTTACATCAGAAAATGTTCGCACAGGCTTCTAGAATAAGTTAGGTTGTGTGTGCAAACCCAAGGTCTGTTCGAATATCTGATTTAGTATTTTGTATTCATTTTGATTAGAAATATTTATTTCAATTTTAATGCGACTTAGTAATTTAATTTATATTTTCAATTTGTTTTAGAATCATCTTCCACCGATGGCGATAAAATGAACATATCCTGAGTTATTGTTACATTTTGCGACAGCGAGCGGTCGGAAAATGTAACAAATACCTTTACGCTATACAAATTTGCGTGTACGCAGGTGAAAACCGTTTCTAAGCAAGACGACACTCCCCAATGAGCGCTACATGGGTACTGACAAAAATCGATAATAAACAGATTTGATACAATTAAAAAATGTGTACGCTCAAAATAAAACCATTATTTAGGCGTATAGAATAAACCGGCTTCTATCTCTGTCTAACATGTGTCTATATACACTTCTCTCTCGTGCACATTGAACTCAAGCCGTCAGAGAAATTTGGATCTCAATCTGTCTAACTGTAGAATAATAATACCAAAGCCTTCCATACGATAGTTATAATACTGAATGTTTAGTAATAAGTAGTAGGTTATAAAATTACGTTTTGCTTTTTTGTGGAGTTAACCAAATATACAATCCTTCTAATATCCTTTGTAGGCACTAATAATGCAAGATTAGCCGCAGGGCTTCGACAGTTGGCAGTCTTCCACACCAGAAATCCATCTCAATTGTTTATGGTGCGTTTTGCTCAGGGCTTGGTCCATATGGAAGAGGAACACTATCACTTAATCCTTTACATACAGATAGAATGTTAGTTGATCCTGTTGGATTAGCTTGTATGAGCTACTTTTAATGAGTATAGATTGAAACCATTCTCATTGTAAAGTAAGGTTTAATTGGGTGTCATCTCCTGAATTTGAGGTTAAGAAAAACATGAAGTTGAAACGTGGGTAGCATTTTCTGAGACTAAATCGAACAGTCTCTTGAAATTGAACCAAATTAATCAAGTACTTGATTCTGAAATACTCCATTGCAGACAAGAAGCATATAGCATGCCATCATTCCATTTTCATTTTTTATTCAAGGTTTACTAGCACCTCTACTGGCTCTAGTAGAGCCACATGCTCTCGTGCTAGGGGATTCCCGCTATTTACTATATTTTTTGGTGATGGCGATACAACCAAGATGGCTGTAACTCTCGACGAAAATCTGCATACTCTTCCTGTCACTGTCAGAGTTGGACAAGCAGTTGAGTTGTGAGTAACAATTTTCCCACACTTCGAAAATCTTTCGGTATACAGATATATTCAGATTACGATGGAGCCTATATACCGGGAGAACCTGGTCGTTTTTACAGCACGAATCAACCAAAGTGCTAACCGTGTCAGTTGCCGAATCGATTTGACGGATGACGTCATATTAGGGTAAAACATGGAATATCTATTTGAGAACGAAATGGTTAGCACCGCTGTCTATTTTAGGCTATTGAGGTTTCATCTATATGTGCGATTCATGTCGCGCGACAGTGTCATTTGGCAATGTTCGTTATCGGGTGTTTATCTAGACGGCGTCGTCAAACAGGATTAAAAAGAAACACCTGTATGTTCAACAAGGTTGAGTGACACTGTAAGGCCAAACAAGTCCCGTGAATAAATGGCCTCTTAGGTAAATTGGGAGAGATGATCCCTATGTTCCGCCCTTACGCTCCTAATCACCTTGCAATAAAACTACATTCAATTTATATTTTTCATTTTTATATAATCCCTATCTTAACATCAACACCCTAACTTAATCAATCGGTATTCCAGCATTTGAACAGCAGCATGGTACAAAATTCGTCCGGATACGTCAGATATGAACTGTTTGTCACATGATTTTTTTCTCGTAAATCTTCCTTTAATTTTGGAAACAGTTTGAAATTAATAGATACCATATATAGCGGGTAATCTATCAATGCAAAGCCTGTAGGATATAGAACAGCCATAGCAATATAGGAGGTATGGCTAGGAGCACTATCACGATGAAACAATACGCGACTTGTTAACTTACCCTATCGCTGTTCTTAAAAAGCATCTTGTAATTTTGAGATTAAGTTTGCATAATAGAACACTATATTATACTACACGACTCTCCTGTGATAACCATTAGGTCAAACGATCCCGTTTTAGGTCACCCACTGGCAGGCGAGTTTTTACAAGATGTCCTTCTACACTCAATATCTCTCCAGTAAGCAAATGAATGGTTTCAAATGCATACTTAATAATTCGCTCAGCCATTAGTTCTTTGACACTGTTACAATTGTGCCTACAATAAGAAGTTACACAATCTTCAACAGTCACCACGATATTTTGATGAGTTTCAGAACTCAAAAGTTCCTAAAAGGCAGCTGACAAAAACTTAAGGCATAGGGACCAACCCTCGTATGTCATATAAACTAGGGAACCGAAGCATAAAGCGTTTTGGTCACATGAGGCGTCTTTAGTCTAAGGATGTACATTATTTCATCATAGAATACGGACATACAACTCCAGTTTTACTGACTAGTTTAGAAAGAGCAGAATTAGCTACTGATCAGTATGAAGTTATTGGACCTACATTAGATGGCATTTGTGTCTTGAAAAAGCATAAAGGCGTTAAAGCCTGATACTGTATCCATTGATTTTTTCACTTCAATGGCATGCTTATGAAAATACCTTTTAACTTGTTCTATTAAACTCACTTTTAAAAATTAACGAGTTTTATTTAAATTCAACTATAAAATCTAAATTTGTCATCAGATATAAACGTACATACACTAATACATAAAATCTTTCATCTAGTGTTACAGAGAGCGTCAAAATCACAATTTTGAAGACTGTTTTCATAGTATTTGTGCATTTGGTTTAGACTGCATAAATCTGAATTCGGGCAGCTTGGTAACCTTACCACCCTCTCCTGATGTAATGTCAATATTTTGTCTCCATCTTCGCACCTAGAATAGATAGTTACAGTGGCTCTCAAAATATTGAATAGCAACCATAGTAAGTACGGAAAGCTACATATAAAATGAATGTGATCATGTCTTATTGAATGTTTTGGATATTTTTGGGCAATTCCAAATAAATGGATGCACTATAGACAATCAATTTTTACGGTTTATCTCATACTACTATATATCTAATGTGGCTTCTCACAACAATGTCTGATGAAAAAGGACCAGTTTATCCGTAAGTAGTAGGATTATTCCAATTTCGAGAATTTCAAAAAGTATTTATAAAATCATTTCTTAATCAATATTATACTTTTATCCAATAATGTTTTATTTTACTCAATTAAGTATTTTTTATGTTGAAACCTCTGCATTTTTAGAGGTATATATTGTTTTTATTGTTCATTTTGTGGACGTCTTACAGGTTAAGTGGCAGAATATATTATGCTAATCTTCGTCCAATAAAGACGTTTTATTATTATTTGCTAAACACTGGCGTATAATCAAACTTGAAGGTAAGGTAATTCATAGTTGAAAGACTTGTTTCAAGTGAGTGAGATGCTTATAATTTTGGGGTTTTACTGTTTTACTTTTTCAAGTTGTTTAGTGCTTTAACTATTACACTTTGTTGTGTATTTAGTTGTAGAAAATTAAGACTTTCAAACTTTTGAACATTAATGATGAAGGACTATTGGAGTTTCTGTAACCTATTATTGGCACATAATGTCCCCTAGGAGAAATTCATTTTAAATTTGGCTTTCAAGATTTTTTTTTTAATTTTTTTAGGGCGTGCCAATATTGGAAGGAATGTCCATTTGCATCTAAAAATTTACATAGCTTTATATTTTCAACTTGTAAAGTGGAAACAACACAATTTCTATAGATAGTTTTAACTTCTTGAAATGATGAATTTTAAAAAATAGCACAAAAAACTTGGTTTACCGTTAAAGAGCTTGGAAAAAATGGATGTGATATTTCACTTTCACAGCGGGAAATACCTGAGCATATTTACGAATATTTTTGAGGCGCACGTTGATTAAATAAAAAAATTGAGGAAAGTTGATAAAAAACACACATGGATCTCACCAAAAAAATATTTCCCTATTGTGAAATAACGTTTACTTCAACAAATTTTATGACAAAATAAAGATGCACAGTGCTTTTCAGGAAGTTTCCTCACTACTTATTTTTGAACGGGTCAAGTTAGAAAGCTAAAATGCAGGATGGTGAAACTGACGCATGACATAACAACAGCATCTAAGAGCTATTTCAGCTGAATGAAATTTAACTGAGCAATGATAAACCGGCCCTAGGTAGACCAATCACAGTAGTTTAGAATTCGGACATTTCTCAATTGCAAGTAAAGTGGACTAGACAACCAAAATCGTCCTCCAATTACAAACAGTGACGAGAAAAGACTTACCCAAATAATACAAAAGCCAAGTTTGTAGCAAAACTGTCGATTTTGCTGGTTTTCCATTGTCTGTTGGACATTTTAGAAAAGTTCTCAGCTGTCAAAGGTTGCTCGTCCTTATACAGTCCTAAATGAGCCAAAATTTTCAACAAAGTTCCCGAATGCGTGAAATAGACAGTGACTTTTGAGTGAGGATCCTTTCTATAAGAAGAGAGAAGAAATCAACATTAAGGTTTATTATAATATCACGCAAAAATGACTGTCCCAATTTATATTTTATCAGGTAAGTAGAGCTACTGGCTCCCAGCCAAGCTAAATGATCTGCTCTCTACTAGTGTGATAGGCTGAGCTCGAAACGATTCTCAGGCCCTGTTTTAAACTTAAGCTGCGTTCAAACTTTCATTAGGGAAGAAATCGGACAGGAGGTGCATCGATGATAAAAGAACATATGGATGAAAATGAAGAGGTCGCGTTTTTGTGGTGTGGATTTCGCTGAAAAGAATTATACTTACGACTCCAAAAAGTTGATCATATCCCCAAAAGCAGGACAAGCTTGTTTATATGAAAGTTCATATCCATATCCATCCTGCCAATACATGTCGAGGTCCTCGACATACTCAAGTACTTTCAGGTCGTCAACAGTGAAAATGGAACACCAAGGAGACTTGCTCTTTTTATGCCAAGCTGTTTCAAATGCGCAGGTGTGGTAAATTAAAGTAATGTCATCTGAAAATCGTTTTATTTTTAATTTCACTTTCACACTGTCTAGAATATTAAAAAGTGTCACGTTGGTTAAGTCTATACTACCATATATCCATATACAGGGGTGGCCCATCCATGTGTGGACGGAATATTACTCATTAACAAATACATTTTGGGAAAATCTATTTATGGGATGTTATACAGGGTCCGGCCATCAAACGGGAAGATTTGGGGTGGGGCTTGCAGCGGGCGGTGAAGTGGTCGGGACCCGAGTGGCTTGCCATTTAGTCTACAATGGAGCGTTGGACGGGTGAGCATCGCGGTTACGCAACTAAGGCTTATTACCAAAGTGGCGAGAGTTTAGTGCAAACGCGTCGAGATTTTAGACGGCATTTTAACATACCGGTTCCGTCAGACCATGCGATTCGAATGTGGCTAAACAACCTCGAGCAAACTGGATCGACATCTAGAGAAAGAGGTGGTAGTGCCAGAACGATTCGAACCCCTGAAAATATTGAACGTGTTCGACAAGCCATTTTAAGAAGTCCACGTCGATCGGCCATCCGTCACGCCACACGCCTTCGATTAAGTGACAGATCGGTGAGAAGGATTCTCCATCAAGATCTTCGATATCACCCGTATAAAATACAGGTTGTTCAATCTCTTTACCCGGATGATTATCAACAGCGTCTCAGATTTTGTGAGGTTATGCTTGCAAGGCTGGAAGAAATTGATGACCAGGTTAACAACTTGTGGATGAGCGATGAGGCACATTTTCACCTCTCCGGTTTTGTTAACAGACACCTCTTCATGCTCAGAAAGTGACAGTATGGTGTGCAACGTCTGCAAATGGAATCATCGGTCCGTATTTTTTTGAGGATGAGGCTGAAAATGCCGTTACCGTTAATTCTGAGAGATACGTTTCAATGATTCGGAACTTCCTCACACCTGAACTCTACCGCTTTCCAGTTAATGAACACACACTTTTTCAACAAGACGGTGCAACAAGCCACACTGCAAGAATTTCGATGAATGCGGTGAATGCTTTGTTCCCAGGGCGTGTCGTTTCTCGAAACGGGGATATTGCTTGGCCCCCTCGGTCTCCCGACCTTACTGTCTGCGACTCCTTTTTATGGGGTTATCTGAAAATGAAAGTGTTTGAAACTGATCTACCCAGGACAATCCCGGCCCTCAAACAACGAATTCGTGACGAGATTGCAGCAATACCTGTTGATATGCTGCGAAGAGTTATGCAGAACTTCCAGGCTCGACTCCATGAATGCATACGCGTTTGACAGATGTAATTTTCAAAAAATAATGTTTTTTAACATTGTATATCAAATGGCTACTCTTTTATTTCCCAGTATGGTATTACTAATTACAAAAAAAATATTTTTTCGATAATAAAATTATTTACGAAATCTGCCGAACCCTGTATTATACATGACATTTGAGGGTACATTTCTAAAATATTGGCTATTATACAGGGTGTCCCAATTTCGACCTACATATCAAAGTTGTGATCTTTCAAATGGAATGCCTCAAATTTTATTGCATATTTGGATAAACCAATTGAAAAGAAGAAAATTGATATAACATACTATGGGGTTTTGGTAATTAGCTTCTGAGATATAAGGTGTTTTGTCTAGAAAAACACCCCACTTCAGCAGCCCCTCAGTCAGCCATTTTGAAATTTGGAGTGCTGAGTTTTGTAACAAAAAAAAACTTACACACCTCAGCTTTTATCTTATTTGTTACTTTTTCGAATTATCATTTTTGCTCATACAGGGTGGTTAAAAACGCAAATTGTAGTTTTTCTCAAAAATTTCAAATGCATCACCCAGTATATTTGTGCCAAGTTTGGATCCAATTTTTTATAAGCTTTTTTTTGATACTAGACATAAGGGTTTTTACGACTATTTTTTCGGTTATTAGCACGTCTTTTATGAAATATCGCATCATCCTTGGAAACAAATAAATGGTTGATTAGTTACAAACTGTCAAAATTAGCTTTGTGAGCATTATAATAAAAACGTGTTTGAACATTAATTTTTCTAAAGAAGAAATGGTGAGTGAATATGGTGTTCGTTTTGGGCGAAGCTCAAAGAAATAGTTTCCTAACATCTCGCATTTATACGCAACGGTACCCTAATATGCGACATCCAAGACCGAAAACATTTTCCACACTACAAGAACGTTTTGAATCAAGTGGAGCAGTGGAATATAGTAAAAAATATATAAATAATACAAGTGCCACCAATGAGGCGAATCAGTTCAAGGTTCTATTACAGTTGCAGGAAAATCCCCATTTAAGTGCACGACAAATCGGAGCAGAAACTGATATATGCAGAACTTCTGTCCAAAGGATTATTCACAAGCATAGGTACCATGCATATCACCTATGCTTGCATCATGGCCTTCGTCCTCAGGATTTCGCAGCTCGAATGGAGTTTAGTAGAATAATGCTAAATAAAGTGAGTGAAGACACTACTTTCCTGGATAAGGTTGTTTTTAGCGATGATGCAACTTTTAACAGCATAGGTGTTGTCAACAGGCATAACATGCACTATTATGCGACGGAAAACCCTCACTGGGTTAGGCAACTATTTGGACATCTGGAGTAACAATCGTTAGA